GACTAAAATACTGGAAAGAAATGAGCCCAAAGTTAATGAAAGACATTTAATTTGAGGAAAAAATATTAGTTGAGGAAAGGAATTAAGATTGACTGAGTTATGGATTAAACTCTACTGTATGGAAAATTTGAAATAATATATAGAAAACATTTTTAATAATGATTATTGAAGGAGCGTGACATTTACGGAATTATCTTAAATAAGACTTGAAAAGTAATCAGAGATGAAAAAATTGGAATTAATTTGGATAGTTTTATTCACCGATGGATCGTACTAAAGTCCAAAACTTGCGTGGAAAAAACGGATTTCACCTTCCTCCACAGAATTTAGAACTTGAAGTTGAAAAGAAGCATCGGATAGCTCTTAGTTTTAATCTTGAGCATTGCTGGTTTTGTGGACGTCCCATGACACCCACAAGCAGGTAATTCTAGAGTTTGAGTCTTTCTTTGTTTTCATTTAAACATCTGAAGATTTGTTTTTCTACAGGTGTTCAAAAGAAAATTGGAACAATTTGAATTTCGACAACTTTTGTTGTTGTGTTTTTCAAATAATTGTCAATGTGAATTTAATTTGTATTTTAATGTCTTCTTTTTCATGTTAGTTTTATTTTCTGGGGGGAATTATAAAAAGTTATCAAATTCACATCTAAATGTTTGTTGACATTTTATTTGCTGTTTGTAATTATCATACATTTTAATCATGCATTAAAGAAGGTGAATGATGGCCTAGTGCTACCCAGTCTCAACTGTGAGTCCTACATAGGGTTACACGCAATTTTCCTCATATGGCGCGGGTACCTGGTATTAAAAATCGAGTTAGCAGACAAAACCTGATTATTATTAAGGTTGCTTGAGTTTAAAGTTTAATAGGCAGGTTTAAAGTATTTACTAATAGAATTAGAAAAATCTAGGTAATTAATCTAAACAATGTTGGTCCGTTAGTTTTTAAAGTCAATCAGAAATACATTTGTATATATATAATTATAGGAATCTAGAGGAAAAGGTATAGCTAGCTATAATGAACAGTTTTGTAAACAGTGAATGTCCTAGGATAATAGAGATTTTCTATATTTGGATAATTGCCTTCCTTAATTCCATTTTTTCCCTTGGTCATTAATTAGAAAGAGGGATGCATTTCTTTGATCTATTTATAAACAAAAGATAAAATGTATTTTTAGACGAAAAGATATCAATCTATTTATAACAAAACAAAGACTAATTGTGGGTTGATCACGGCACTGAAACTTGAGAAAGATTTAGTATTGTAACCGAGAAATAGACAAAAATTGTGAGGGACTTGTACTCCTATTTTAGTTGTATTTGCAGATGGAATTACTTGTTTCATATATGCATGTATTCTTCTATATTTATTATATAATTCCTACAGCAGATTCAGATTTTTGGTTTTTGTATCTATAATCCATACATTTTGTTAATACAAAGAAATTGAAAATAAATGAATATAAAGTAATCATTTAATATACATCAGTATTCCTGATATAAATATACAATGTATAACTGGTGATGATTTCAATATTGATATTTAATAAGTTGATATCAATAGGTTAGAGCTCTGCAACAATATGCAAACTTAAGCTATTCTTATTTGTTTATTAGTCAGGAATTGTTGCCAGCTAGTTACTGGAGTCTCCTGTTTAATGTGACTGGTATTAACAGTATGTAATTTTCTAATTCCTCCAGTATAAATCTGCTGATTTCTATTGCCCCACCCCTCACTCCCCACTCCAGTATTTACAACTTGTACCTATTCAGTATCGTTATCCCAGTGGTCATTTTTTTAAAGCTTTTATGACTTCCCCTTTTAGATTCTTTATCAAACAGGTTTGCAGTGCTTATAAATGAACTTTTTTGTGCTTGAACCTAAAGTGATTAGCATTTTGTCACTTTTAGTGCAATAATTGGTTAACTAAGGACTTAACCTGTTACTGCACTAAGGTGATGAATTTTGTCAACAGTATCAAAGAGCCAGGCCAGCCAGTGCACCTCCCAGACTTTGAACTGGCTCTATACTGGTGGCTGACCAATCCTGACATCCCCAAAATTGATAATGAAGAGTTAGTAACAAAAATGAAAACTGGAAAATTTATTACACAAATGTACCAGGTAGAGGTTTAAAAGAATATCCTTTGATTTATTTTTTTCATTTTTATTAAGTTTTTTTTGTGTGTGTTTGTTTTACATTTGTCTTCTTAGAAATGAGCTAGGCACAATAGCCATTGATCTGACACCAAACACTGAGGCGTAATGCATAATATTCATTATAAAAGCCATCCAATTTTATCAAATGAGCCGCGTCATGACAAAACCAACATAATGGGTTTGCGACCAGCATGGATCCAGACCAGCCTGCGCATCAGCGCGCAGTCTGATCAGGATCCATGCTGTTCGCTTACAGAGCTTCTCACAAGTAGAGAAACTGATAGCGAACAGCATGGATCCTGATCAGACTGCGCGGATGCGCAGGCTGGTCTGGATCCATGCTGGTTGCAAACCCATTATGTTGGTTTTGTCGTGACACGGCTCAAATGTTTTCATTTAATCTTTGGCCATCCATTGGAACATTGAGCACAAATGTTCATATTAGATTAAATTGAATTAAAATTGTTTTATGGCATTGAAATTAAGGTTGATCAATAGACACCAGTTGTTAAAACAAATTGAGATCACAAGGAAATGATGAACACAGATTTGAATAACAGTCAAAACAATCCTTACAAAGCAGTAAAGACAAGGATATTGCTTTTACATTGCTAGAAACTATTAACATGTCTATATCTTAATGCCTTTATTTCATATACTCACAGCAGCTAGTGTTTTATTAAGTGCTGAGTGCAAGCTGTAAAAAATTTGCTTTGTTGATATATTTTTCTGGTCAAGTTTCAGATCAAGTTTCTGGTGTATACAGATCAAGTTTCTGGTCCCTATGGATCAAGTTTCTGACGTATACAGATCAAGATTTTGGTGTATACAGATCAAGTTTCTGGTGTATACAGATCAAGTTTCTGGTCCCTATGGATCAAGTTTCTGGTCCCTATGGATCAAGTTTCTGGTCCCTATGGATCAAGTTTCTGGTGTATACAGATCAAGTTTCTGGTCCCTATGGATCAAGTTTCTGGTGTATACAGATCAAGTTTCTGGTCCTTATGGATCAAGTTTCTGGTGTATACAGATCAAGTTTCTGGTCCCTATGGATCAAGTTTCTGGTCCTTACAGATTGTTCTGATCCCTATGGATCAAGTTTCTGGTGTATACAGATCAAGTTTCTGGTCCCTATGGATCAAGTTTCTGGTCCTTACAGATCAAGGTTCTGATCCCTTTGGTACAAGTTTCTGATGTATACAGATCAAGATTTTGGTGTATACAGATTAAGTGTCTGGTCCCTATGGATCAAGTTTCTGGTGTATACAGATCAAGTTTCTGGTCCCTGTCGATCAAGTTTCTGGTCCTTACAGATCAAGTTTCTGGTCCCTATGGATCAAGTTTCTGGTCCTTACAGATCAAGGTTCTGATCCTGATGATAGTCATTCATTGCACTTTACATGTATTTTATCTCTCATAGACCAACTCTGCCATTTTCACCCAAGAACTCTTACCAAGGTTGTCTGATGGGAAAAGTTTGTTATTGGTGAACGTTGGTAGGCAGACTATTTGTAGTAAACAGTTCCTACTTTCCTTAACAGATTTCAACCAAACTTTTGCACAACTAATGTCACTAAGTGTCCTGGCACATATTGTCTCAGTTTTGTGATTTGATAATATTTTAGGGAAATTTCTAACTCTTTGTGATTTCTTCACATGTATGTGTAATGATACAGTCTGGTTATTTGATGCAATTGTTATTTGTGGAAACCCTGATTTTATAACTATTCTTGTCTTGGATTGATATCTTATCAACCTTAATACACAGCAGAAAAATAACTATTATAGTTATACTGACCAAATATTTGTGAAGTAGCACATAATATTAGAGTGTGGCATATGTTTGGGAAAAAAAGATATTTCTAACTAATTCAATTCTGCATAGGATCCTGCAAATACACAGAATTTTAATTTGGGAAGAAAGAACAAAAGACCAACAAATAAAAATTTATATATGGAACATTGCAAAACCATACAAAAACAGTTTCCTTTTCTGTGTTAATTAATTGCTTTTAATTAATGTTTATAGTGCCGGTTGATGGCTGTTTGGACGATTATTTGCCTGTGATGAATAATTACAGAAGAAACTCTCTTTAAACTTAGAAATATTTGTTGTGATAATGTTACACCAGCAACAGATTGAGACTAGTTGACGGTTAAACTTGTTTGCCTATGTTACATCAGCAACAGACCAAGACTAGGTTGTTTGTTTGTCTTGTTTGCCTATAATTATGTGACCAAGACTAGTTTGTCTTGTCAAGACTGCGAGGTTCAACTCATTGTGTTAATTGGTTCTAGCATCCTGTCACTGTTGAAAAATGCTAGGCACTTTATTTTGTTATTCATATACAGGTATACATATTACTTGGTTGTATATAAACATTTTTTAATATCTGGAATTGAAATATATGGTAACTAACTAACATTTTGATAGTAGCAGACTTCTTGAGATATAAATAATTATGTATTTCGATTATATATAAATAATTATGTCCAGTGATTATACATTTGCATGACATTCTATGAAAGATTGTATCTTTCTTGCCTCATAAAAATGTTAAAATAGATATAATGCAAGGAAAATCAGAGGTGGATGTAAACGTATATGTTGCTGTTTTGTATTTATGAAATAGTATACTCACTGTAGAATTTGTATGGAATTTTGCTGGTTTGGAGTGATAAAGTGCAAGGGTAAAGTTATACCTTTTAGATATATCATCATGAGAAAAAAAGAATCATTTATCCTCTGTGAAGAGTACTAATTGTAGTAATTAATGCTAGTACTGACAGTCACTGGGGTTGATCACAAGTTTTGTAATATGTTTATTTTTGTATTTTCAGTGTGAGCAGTGGGGAGGATAATCTTGAGAAACTTCAAGAATTGGAGAGAGCGCTAGCACAGGCTCAGCACGAGAAAATGAGGCTCATGGAGGACCAGGTAGTCCTACTGACCTAATTATGTTTCTTAACTTTATCCTACTGGAAGTTATAATTCTTTACCAGATCATCCTGCACCTCCATGCATTGATATAATTTTAGATTAAATATTTGCTTCAGGTTATAATATAACACTTAAAGTCTAACAAATTGTTGCATGTAAAAACCTAGTTTTATGTTAATCAAATTCAGATTTATATATATATATAGAAGTGACCAATAATTTACCTTTACTTTTTTTAAACTTTGGAACTTGTTTTTTAATTTTTCTTATTCATTAATGGATTTGTGCTTTACCCAGACATCTTTGTCCTTTATAACTTTTTGAAGTAAAAACCTATTGAATTCTTCAGAATGTTTAGCAATGAAAATTGATTCTAGGTAAAGAATGTGTTGGTTAAAGAACTGTAACAATTTTATGCGTTTTAATCTTAAGTGAAATTATTCCCAAGATGGAACTGTTTTATAAGATTGCTATTGATAAAGAAATTTAGTGGAGAACTTGTAAGAGTGCTCTGCTCTTTAAATTGTAATAAAATTTCCACCTTTCCCTGAATCCAGATTTCTAAAGTAAAATAGGTAGAAAAAGTATAGAAAATAAATACCAAGTGCAATGTACATGTATACCCATATTTGGTGTGTACTTTTTTTAGCTCGACTTTTCTATGAAAAGGGGAGCTATCCTACTCGCCCCGGCGTCGGCGTCGGCGTCACACCTTGGTTAAGTTTTTCGTACCACCCCACTTTATTTCAGAAGTATTACAAGTATGGCTTTGAAACTTACCATACTTGTTCACCATCATAACCTCCATCTACAGACAAGAGTACATAACTCTGTCAAGGTTTTTGACAGAATTATGGCCCTTTTTTGACTTAGAAAGTGTATTGAGCTTGGTTAAGTTTTTAGCTCGACTTTTCTATGAAAAGGGGAGCTATCCTACTCGCCCCGGCGTCGGCGTCGGCGTCACACCTTGGTTAAGTTTTTCGTACCACCCCACTTTATTTCAGAAGTATTACAAGTATGGCTTTGAAACTTACCATACTTGTTCACCATCATAACCTCCATCTACAGACAAGAGTACATAACTCTGTCAAGGTTTTTGACAGAATTATGGCCCTTTTTTGACTTAGAAAGTGTATTGAGCTTGGTTAAGTTTTTTGTACCACCTCACTTTATTTCAAAACCATTGGAGGTATTGCTTTGAAACTGACCATACTTGTTTACCATCACGACCTTCATCAACAGACAAGGACATAACTCTGTCAAGGTTTTTGACAGAATTATGCCCCTTTTTGACTTAGAAAATACATTGAATATGGGTAAAATCCACTTATTGCCTTAACCCTTTGAGATATTGCTTTGAAACTTTTAATGCTATTTCACATCATTACCCCCATCTGTACGCAAGAGAAGGTAACTCTGTCAAGGATTTGTTTTAAAAATTAAGGCCTTTTATCGACTTAGAATCTTGGTTAAGTTTTTAGTACCAGTCCACTTTTTGACTGAACTGTTTGAGATATTAATTTGAAAGTTCAGTTGGAATACTTGTTTACAATCATGATTCCCAAACATGTCCAGGAGAAGGTAATTCTGTCAAAGATTTTATTTGAATTATGGCCCTTAACTGTCAATGTTTTGTATTATAGGCAAGCACTAAAAAAGTCGAGCGCGCTGTCTTACGGACAGCTCTTGTTTGTACCACCTCACTTTATTTCAAAACCATTGGAGGTATTGCTTTGAAACTGACCATACTTGTTTACCATCACGACCTTCATCAACAGACAAGAGGACATAACTCTGTCAAGGTTTTTGACAGAATTATGCCCCTTTTTGACTTAGAAAATACATTGAATATGGGTAAAATCCACTTATTGCCTTAACCCTTTGAGATATTGCTTTGAAACTTTTAATGCTATTTCACATCATTACCCCCATCTGTACGCAAGAGAAGGTAACTCTGTCAAGGATTTGTTTTAAAAATTAAGGCCTTTTATCGACTTAGAATCTTGGTTAAGTTTTTAGTACCAGTCCACTTTTTGACTGAACTGTTTGAGATATTAATTTGAAAGTTGGAATACTTGTTTACAATCATGATTCCCAAACATGTCCAGGAGAAGGTAATTCTGTCAAAGATTTTATTTGAATTATGGCCCTTAACTGTCAATGTTTTGTATTATAGGCAAGCACTAAAAAACTTAAAAAATCTAAAAAAATTCATTCCTATCCACTTGTTCACTTTACCATAAATTATGTCATATAAACATTGCTGTAATATTCAAGGGTATCAAACAACTAGTTTTTTTTTCTTTCTTACCAGCCCTCTTTTGACTTAAACATTTCAAACTTTGCTGCAGTGTTCAAGGGTATCACACAATTCAGTAAAATAATTCTTCACTAAATATCTTAATGCTCATGGCCATTGTTCACTTTAAAAATACAGAGATTCTTGTATTGCCTTTTACTGCAAAAACTTTTTTTATTGGCAAGCAATAAAAAAGTCGAGCGCGCTGTCTTACGGACAGCTCTTGTTTTAGTTCAATTTGTATGAAATAATTCCTTAAATGTTTTTACTTTATAAACTGATACTGAATTACATTTAAGTAGTGTAATTGCAAAGTTTATGATTATTAATTCATGCACTTGTGAGTAATTGGCAAAGATAGGTCGACAAATTAAGACTTTTTCATGTTTAGAATGCACCTTGAACCTTACTTCCTGTTTGAGACCGAATAGAGGCATTTTTAGTCCCATGTGTAAAAATCTATTCATGGACATTGCCCAAACCTTTTACCCATACATGCCATAATTTTTAGACTCATTTCCGGGACACTTTTCATTTGGAGGTGGGGCATTGATCAGCAAACGTATTTTTTTTTATAAATTTACATAGTGGCATACAACCTATACCTAAAAAAAAAGAAAAGTTTTACCCCTCCCCCACCAGTTGGAATGTAAACGTGAACATTCTGTCAGAGTAATAAAAAGTATCTCTTTAAAATGCTCAAGACATCAAAGTATTTGGACTATACCCGGCCTGCTTAGGGAAATATGCTTACTTTGAATGTATTTCTTTCTTTATACATTATTTTTCTATTTGGGAGCCTGGAGGTGGTAATATTCCCACTAGGAGGCTTATGTCCAACCATGTATTTTCAATGTGGACGAGAAATATCTGTATACCAAAGAGACCACAACTTCTTCACAATTCTGTAGTTGTAGAGTGGTGACACACTGATTTGTCATAGTTATCAAAACTCTCTCAAGGTTTGACCCTGCTCAGTACAGACTATACAAGACAATTAACAACTTCCCCACATTGTAGTAATTGATTGACATCTCTATAGAATTCTACAAGGAAAATGCCTTCACACCTAATTACAGAATGCATGACCAAAAACTTCCTCAAATACAAATTACTAATTGATTGAAAGCAAAACTTATTACAGATGGCAGGATGTGATGAAATAAGTGGCAATTATAATTAATTACAGGAAATTAATTCTTTGGCTCGCTGACAAAAGTAGGGCTTTTTTATTAGTATTTAAGGAAAGGTCTTCAAGTGTTCAATGTCTAAACATCAAAGTTGATGCTTCAAGTTTGTTTGGTTACAGTCATTTGAGGACAAAGTTAACTTCTTATGTTAAGCTTAGAGGGTGCTTTGAATAAATTGAGTCGTAAATTTAATTCTTTTAATTAAGTATGTATTATCTTATAGTCATATAGTTGAAGAAAAATATTTTTGGCTGAACATTTTAAATACACAAACTGATAGGGATTTTCATTTGTATTAAAAATAGGGTATAATTTCCTTAAAAAATTACAAATCTATTAAAATTTTCTTCATTTAAAAGTAAGACTTGTTTTGCATCTAGGTACATTTTCATCCTTTTAGTTTTTTAATTTTTTAGATGTTTACCAATTTGAAGTTGGAATATTCCATTGTATTAAATGAAAGAGATTTGATACAATATTGAAATGAAGTTGATCAGCTAACAGTCTAGTCTTTATTAATGTGCAGACTTTGGTAAAGTTTTCCCTAATTTACCAGAAATATATACATGTATATCATATTAATCATATATCTAGTCGTAACTATGACATTAAATGCAATTGAAATCAAGTTAAGAATAATTCGGCAATGATATATACAGGAAGAAATGTGTAACTTGTTGAAGTATACTCACTCATTCCATATTACATTGCTGAAGTAGAATTTTATCAGTTTATTGTAAAGGGAGATAATCTCCCACACATATATTAGCCTATCTGAACATAGTTGTGTACCTTGATATGTGAATATGAGAGTAATTCTCAGTTCATTAGTTTGTATAAGGAAACAATTTTAAATACCCGAGCTTTTATTTATAGATGAAGTCGCGTGAGAACGAGATGTTGGCGTTACATGAAGAGCGACAGAAACGGGAGGAGCTTGAGAGAAAACTGCGGGAGGAAACACAACTTCGTGAAGAACTTGTCGCACAACAGATTAAGTATAGAGAAAAACAGAAAATTCAGGTTAAATTATGTTTGTTTTTTAAAAAATAACAAAATCATTGCATTAAACAGTTAACTGAAGATGAATTGAATTGTACATATTTGAATATAGATAGATAGCATAAACATTTCCAAAAACATGAAAATGTGGTCATATTCAAATTGTTATTTTAGATATCTAAAAAAAAAAGATTCAAATATGAACCAGTATTTTTTTAATTAATAATGTAGCTTAGCTGATCATTAATGTTTTTAAATGACAAAACAACTACTGAACTAGCACATGGTTGTCAAATTCAAACCACCTGCCCCTAAGCACCATGTGTTCAAATCCTGTCTGGGACCTCTTTCATATGAGAAAGCTATCCACTAGTTAATAGAATACTTATTTACTATGATTTATGCGCATGACTCATGCACCTAAATTGCACAAGTAATTACCAAAAAAAATAAGAAAGTAGTTCAAATTCAAGGGCAAATAACTTAAAGTCAAGATTGGCATTCCATATTTGTTTTAATTAAAAGTTTACTTTTGTCAGATTTTGAAAACCATGCATAATGAAATAAATTCTTTACATTCTTTCTAATATTTATATTTGTATAAAAACTATCACAATAAACCTAAATAGTAAATAGTATAACTTTATTCAAGATCTTTCATATCAGATTTCTTTAATTTCAGGCCCGTCCATTAACAAGGTACTTGCCAGTGAGGAGTCAAGACTTTGATTTAAAAGTGCATATAGAGACTGCTGGACACAATTTAGAAATGTGCCAACATGTTGTTATAAATTCAAACAGTGCTAGAGGATTTCTCGTCAAAATGGGCGGGAAAATTAAAACTTGGCATAAACGCTGGTTTGTGTTTGACAGAATAAAGAGATCTCTAGTTTATTATGTTGATAAAAGTGAATCAAAGCCTCGCGGAGGTATATACTTTCAAGCAATTGAAGAAGTGTATGTGGATCATTTACGTACTGTGAAAAGCCCGAACCAAAAATTGACTTTCTGTGTTAAAACGTACGAACGGACCTATTTCTTAGTGGCGCCCTCTGCAGAAGCTATGAGGATATGGATTGATGTGATATTCACTGGAGCAGAAGGCTACCAGCAGTTTCTTCAATAATATTTAGCTATATTTAGAAATAATCGTTTCTACAGATTTATTTTGTTTGTTTGAAAATATTCCATTACAAGTGTTTTATGTTGCATAACAGTTGAAATGATCTTTCCACCATTATTTATATCCATTACTCAATAATATGATTATTCAAAATTCCGCAACAAATGAAAAAAAGTATCAAATTTATTTGTTCATTTATTTGTAAAAAAAAATACTTGTCAATTCTGTTAAATACTGTTAAAACATAAATGTTGATTCTTAAATAGTCTCTTGCTGAGAAATTGTTACTTACTGGTTAGTTAGCCAGTTAGGTGGACTGACCACTGAGATATGCCCAAAAATGTGTTAAAATCTCAATAAAAAACCATGTAATTTACTATTCAACAAATAGTTATGGTTTTGATCTGTTGATATTCTTATATTCATACTAATGCTGCACTTTGTGTTTTTATGTCTGATATTTTTAGCTCTGTTAGAGCAAAAATTGTACTACTTCGAAACGTATTTCAGCATTTGTGATCACTTTTGTCACATTGTGACATCTTTTTAAGTGTCAGAACTTTTCTTGGTACAATGTGTAATGAATTACATATCCAATTCATGGCATATTGTGTAATGTATTTTATAATTTATTCTATAAATTTTGAAACCTTAAAAGGAATGCATAATTTTTTCAGTAATTTCTAAAAAAAGATCTCTTATAAATGTGTATATTTTTAGATTTTAAGGACATAGCTTCCTGGCATAGCTTACTGGTAATGATTAGTGGTGCAACAATTTTACGAGTACACCTTAATATTAAGATAAAGCTTCGTCTAAAACCTACGATGGTACATAACTACTTGGTACCCGGATATTTTCATTAATATCTAATAAGAGTTAAAACTGTGAGACATATTTTTATTGAATTTGAGTTTCATTAAAAATTTGTTTAAGCAGCATTTAGAAAGTATGTTTATATTGAGATATTCTGCTTTAATTAAATTTTGATATACATTGTTTTAGTATAAAGATGGACTAAGAAATTCTGACTTTTTAAGAATTTCAAAATTAATAAGTATACAATAAAAAACACAGTGCAATGCATGGTTCAATAATAACATGTTTAGTTTGGAGGTTTCTTTTCTGTTTTATGGTTTCTTTGTATAATTGGTTTGAAATATGTACCTCCAAGATTGTAAAGAAATTGTCAATGCTCATGCTCAAATCTCTTGTATTTGATTGGTCCAAAGTTTGCAAGTAGAATACACTAACCAATGAAAATCCTGCTCAGAAAAGTGTTTTATAACCTCCAGCCCAGATCTTGCAATGGAGGCTGAGAAACTAGTGAAGCTAAAAATAGTAGTCATATGACGTTGACAGTGCTTGAATGGCAATTAACAATTAGACATGCACCTTGGTATTAATTAAAGCTGTCATCACAGGATTAAAAGGATTAAAGGAGTAATGCAAGTTAGTTGTTTATGAAACAAGGACCATTTTTAGTTCTTATTGAAAGGTGTTTTATGAAATTTTTATGAAACAAGGACAATTTCAGTTCTTGTTTTAATTTATATTTATGCAGAACTTTGTATTTTATCATTGAATTACATAATTTTCAAAAATATTATGTGATTTAAATTGAAAAATTAAGAAATTAACTATTACAGCATTAGAAGAAAGAAATTCATTATCTTACATTATCTCAAAATTATAAAAAAAAAATTGACTTAGTGCATCAGTCCATAATGCAATCATTTGATTGTTAATTTGGGATATATGATATTCGAAATTGACCAATGATAGTAGTGTATTGGCAGACTTGTGTTAAAAATTAAATTTATATTACGAAAACTTAAGATTGAAGACCAGTCTGAGTATAGCTTGAATTTCAAGCTTCTTATACAAAAGGCCTCTCTTGGGCGTTATGCTATGTTGCAGAAAGAACGTTTCCTTATGGGGTCAACTGGCCGTGATTAAGGTTTATTGTTTTACTTTCCCCTTTGTTACATGATAATTAGATTCATATATTTGCTTTGTTTTCTACTGTTTTTGCATACATGATAGAAAGTTTATATGTTGTATTCCCCTACAAATGAGCTTTGATATAAAGATTAAAAATTTTGATTGTCTTTGTTTTATTTTGATCATCATTTAGTATATAATGTCATCAACTTTAAGAGAGACATTTTGTATTCCCGTTTCCTATGGTTATTAGTCCGCGCGCAGATACATAATCCAAGGGTTGGTGGTCCGATCCTTTGACTTTGTGATAAATTGGACAGTGAATCAGTGGTCATTTGATATATCATTGTATCCCAACACTAGAGGTTTGGTCACACCGAGAGGTATGTTTTGAGTCGCGCGACAGTCTGCGTAGAAAAGGTAAAGCTTTAACAAAATCCCAGGCAGAAACATTGAAACGGGCAGGATATTGAAGTCCATCCATGCAGGTATGGCAGAATTGTTGACCAGACATGACCATCAATGCACTTAAGAAAATCATGACTGGAATACATGTACAACTGTGACCATGACCACTGAGCTGAAGACCAGATTTTTGCGTGTGACATGTAGTCATCATGTACAGGTCAGTTATGCCAAGTTATTCTAGAATCCATCCAAGAATGATGAACATCAACACACTTTAATGAAAAGAAATGACTTTGGAATTCTAGTTTGACATTGGCCTTTGAGCTTGGCTCACAACACATGTTCAACACATTAATGAGACGCGCCATGACAAAAACAACATAATGCGTTTGCGACCAGCATGGATCCAGACCAGCCTGCCCATCCGCGCAGTCTGATCAGGATTCATTCTGTTCGCTTACAAACCCTTTAACAAGTAGAGAAACTGATAGCGAACAGCATGGATCCTGATCAGACTACGCGGATGGGCAGACTGGTATGGATCCATGCTGGTCGCAAACGCAATATGTTGGTTTTGCTGTCAAACTGCTGCCAAAGATGGTAATGCTGTCAAACTGGCAAGTTTATGCTGGTAAAATGTGTGACGTCTTTGTTTTGAAAGTTGAGTGCAGCAAATAGTCACACATTTCACCTGCAGAAACTTTCCAAGTAAGAGAACTTTCTTTAATGGTGAGAATAACCACCAATCAAGGTAGCAGTTAAATTAAATCATTTTGTACATTAGTTATACTGGCGTTTTCATGTAAATAGTGCCTATTATTACTACATTTTTACTGCAAATGTTCCTACTTTTTGCTTCAAAACTTTTCCTATTTCTTCCGACTTTTTGATTTAGGCAGAGGCAGATTCAAACGTTTGCATGATACTGAGTAAATTTGTCTATGAAAGAGCACCTTGCTCTAAATAGATCTACTGGTCAATTAGAAATAGCCCACTTGAATGTGATGATTTTTTAGACGCAAACATATTCAGCTAGTGCCTAAATTACTTTTAAACGTTTTGTTATATATTTATTTAAAATACGGAAGAGTAAAATTATGTATTTTTTAACCATAAAGCATTTCTAAATAATTTCTTCTTTAAGGTTTATATTATACATTATCAGGGTTATTCTCTTCTACAGATGGAACTTTATAGGCCTTTTCCACTCTGGATAATTTGTTTAAAATAATAGTTTTTCAGCTAGAATTCAATTAACATTAGGTTTCACACTATGGGGTTGGACCCCAAAGTACATAACGCACTTTAAAGTGCGGTGTTACATGTTTAATCTTTACGCCGACTGGGGATATGGATGTAAAATTCAAAAATAAAACATTTAATTTTTACGTATTGCCCTCTCGACGATAGGAGTAATTTGTCACAGTGTACAAAATATTAACATATCATTTCGTGCCACGTGACTACACTATTTGACGAGCGCTTGTATAACGTGTCATCAACTTATTGCTATACTCGACAACATTGCCTTGTCAAGAAGATCTCCGGTTAAATCTTGAGCTCAACCCTGCAAAGTGCGATAAGATCGCCTAAATAGAATAAAGACATTCATCCATTATAACTGTAAAGTCATTGTATATTTGTAATGTTAAGTGTTTTCATTAAAGTCCTTAATTAATACAAAAATCACCATCATTTTTGTCATTCCACGGCAAAAGCATATTTGCAAAGGGAAAGTTGAAAAAGCAACATTAATACAAACCGATTCTTGTTATGAATGTAGACATAAAAAAAACCTGATTAACCCGTACAATATAATTGAATGATAATTATTTATCAAAACAAGATCTTTAACATTCCCATTTACAATGTAATAAAACACAAGTACTTACACTTGAAATTCATTTTACTCCGAATTTTGTGATTTTCAGTTCACAAATGCCGGCTGAGATACAGTTGGTTTACGCACATTGGATATTTAATATTGTATTGAATACTTATTTAATATAGCTAGTAGGAATGTTTATTCAATTACATTTAAATCTATACAAAAATGCCTTCAAATAACATGTATTTCTTATGTTCGAAGGAGCTTTCCTTTTGGTTACGTGTTATATTTAAGGATGCAAAGTTCTACTAACTACTACTGTTTTTGTTATTCTTGGCTTAAGTGTTATTTTGTTTTTTCTTCATATTTTACTTTTTACATGATATAGCTTCATCTATAGTTTCGTTTTTGCAAACATAATAGAACCTTTATCTGCTGTAATAATTTACAAAAATTGACAAGGTTTAATTATATTACAGAGGTTGATTTTTTTGTGTCCTTATTTTATTCATCATAATCTCATAAGATATTTAAGGCAATGATGCATTGGGTATTGTGTTAAAATACAAATACTTATTAAGAATAAGAATTTAAAAAAAGTTTTCAAAGTCATTAATTCTTGAATGAAACATAACAAAACCAATTTGAAAACTTAGATGCTGTTCAAAATTGTGAAAATTCTGTTATAGCTCACGTTTCGCTCAGTGGTGAACACTAAAGGTTGTTAACACTAATGAAGTCAAGGAATATTCGTCAGAAAGTTTGATGTTATTTTAACAAATCCGAAAATGTTTACTATAAGGTCAGAAAAGAGCTCACCAGATCCTGTCAAATTTAAACATCGTTTGCATTTAAAAAGAGAAATCCTATCATTTTTTGTTCGTTTGAAATAATGTTTTTAGGTAAAGCCACGTTGGGAAAAAAGTCGAGTTCATCCGTACAAACATTAGGAAACTTTGAGATTTACCACTTTGGAGGTCAAAGATCCGAATGGATCTGAATCAAACTTTGCCAGAACGTTTCTTTTTATAACACCTAATTGGAGTTTAAATATGGATTATATATTATGATACGTACGAAAGAAAGCCCATTACACTCTTAGAATCACAGATTTCAATATAATATTGTATCTGAAACTCGTTTAGTCAGTTGTCATCTTGAATTACGTCCACATGGAAACCTAGAAAAAAATTTTAAGATCCATTCTCTATAAAAATGGCCCCGTGCTTCACTTCAGTGTTTTTATATTTTCTGGTCCCTCGTGATCATTGATTCAAACACCTTTAAGTGAGGAAATTGGGTACCGCTCTTGAAAATTAAGTACTGCTCATGCCGGTGCTAGGTGACGTGAGGGATTTTGCACATTTTCATCATCCCTCATGTACAGAATCGATCAAACCGAGTCTACAATGACCATGTAATTTTGTGTGGTTTATGCTTCCGAGGGATCAAACTTTATACAGATTTTTTATTTTATCTTAAATAATGGAACACTGTTATAAAGGTCAAAAATAGGTGACCTGGTAACTTCCAGTTGTTAAGCTCTTCTTATATTATTTCCAACGTTTAAAAGATGAATGTCGAATGAGTCTCAAAATAAACATTTTTTTCATCACCTTCATTTAATCAGTTTGCAACTTTTTCAATATCCCTCACTTTCTAAATTATTTAAAAAAAACAAAACTGTTTTCTATGTAATGTGATCATTTTGCCAGTCTGAAAAGGGGTTGTAAACAGCAACAAAAATGGTGTTCATTGTGTACTTTGTGTTTTTTGTCCTAATACAACTTCTTGCTGCTCGTTTTTCTTCTGCCACTGAACCGGTATGCTCCAAGTTTTCTTACGAGGAAAAGCTTCTTGAAAAAATGATACGCACGGAGATTAAAGTAGAAACCACGCAGAATGAAATAAAGAAAACAGAAGAAACTGTCTTGAATACACTTGTGGAAATAAAAAAGACAGCTTTGGATATTCAAGATAAATTCGAGGACTTCAGAAATGAACAAATAAAAGAAATGCAGTCAAAGAAAGGTAAGTCCTTTTGTTTTAAGAAAAGTATATTTTTATTTTTGTGAAAATAGATATAAAGAATATATTACGAATGTTTACTAAAGATTTTACACTAAAGACCGTATCGATGATTTTATTGACTCGGTTAAACAATGACTTATGAATGAATATAACTTACATGTATTTATTTTCATATACAAGTGCTTTCAAACAATCAATACTTTGAGTATGATTAACTGTTATATAAATGTTATATATTGAAATGAAATCTCATAAAGGCGAAATGTGAAAATAACTAATAATAATCCAATTTACGCCGTATGACACCTCATTTAGCTCTCGATGTATATAGCTCTCCGGAGAGAGCTGTAAGACATATAGCTCTTTTAAGAGTTAACAAACGAGTTATATATTAGTTGCGTAACAGCGCCAGCCTGATGAAGATCCGATGTGTAATAACATTTCGGTATATTAATCATGATGTCATGTTTTTTTTTTCAGAGCAAATCTCAAACCAATTTGAAGAATTGACAAACAATATCACGGTGAAAGTGGACAATGAAGGGAACATTTTGGCCAAACGTGAAGGTACTGTTTTCATTATTTCAATGTAGTTTTCTTCACTGATACCTTCCGTCATGAAATTATCAACTACTGAACATCAAATGAAAAATCCGATTTTCTTTATACTATTTTTAATGTATAGAAGAACATCGTTTGACCTATGTTACATGAATCACATCGGAGCAAAAAAAAACAAAAACAAAAAACAACAACAAACAAACGATTTGCTTAATATAAGGTCATTTGATAACGAATTAGTATTTTTAATTATGTCGAATTGATGATGGTGATGATGAACCGTAAATGATGATTATGATGATGAGATACTAATTATCATTATTTCGATGATGTAACTGGTAATGATACTGATGATAATAATTATTGTGATGATGATGATGTTAATGTTCAATTTAAAAAAAAAAATGTCTGAGTGTACAAGAAACCCTATGCCAAAATATTTATTGCATTGCATGCTTATACTTTGAGAGCTCTATCCGTCAAAAAGGTGCATCTTGACGTATACTCTTTGTTGGGAGCTATATACGATTTCGTATTCGTTGTAAGATGTCGACGAATAAAGATCCCTGGAGAGCTATATTTGTTGCGTGACGGCGCCACCCTAATAAAGATGCAAGATGTAATTGTTAAATTTATTTCTGATATTAACATTTCGGTAAATAAATCATTGATGATAATATTTTTCAGAGCAATTCGCAAACCAATTTAAAGAATTGACAAACAATATCACGGTGAAAATGGAGACCGAAAGGGATATCTTGGCCAAGCTTAAAGGTGTTTTTTTTTAAATATTGCCAATGTAGTTTTATTTACTAATATATTCCGTCATGAAGGTATCAAAAACTTATCGTCAAACGAATAAATCCGATTTTCGTAATACTGTTTTTATTGTATAAAAGAGGGTGATAACATGATTATGGTGATGATGTTAATGATTTACTTGTGATGATTATTTTGATGACGCCAGACGGTACCAGTAATATTGATGATGATGATGATAATTGTGATGATGTACTGATGATTATTATTTTTATGTGATGATTTGTTGCTATGGTACTGATTACAATGATGATGATAATGATAATCTGGTCATGATAATGATGATATTGATGATGTCGTGACAATGATAGTAATTTTGCTATTGTTGTTGTTGATGATGATGATGTCCTTTTGGTTAATTTTGAAGATGTGCTGATAATGGTGATGATTATAATGTACTGACGATGATGGTAATGCTGGTGATGATATTGATGATACTAACGTAGATGCATTGATGCTGCTGCTAATGATGATAATGATAATAATAAGTATTGTTGTTGTTGTTGTTGTTGTTGTTGTTGTTGTTGTTGTTGATGATGATGATGATGATGATGATGTACTGGTAATGAAAATGATGACCTACAGATGTCGATGTTCTACTGATGATGGTGATGATTATTGAATGATAATGATGATGATGATGTTGATAATGATTATGATGTACTGATGTTGATTTTCTATTGATGATGGTAATAATTGCATGATCATGATGATGTTGTGATGATGATGCTGATGATGATTATTAAGAATAAGATAATGATGTAATGATGGTGATAATGATCAAGTACTGAACATCAAATGATTTAACCTGATTTTCGTAGTTCATCTTTTTTATTTAAGTATTTCGTTACTGCTTTACTGTTTTTTTTTGTCTATGAATGGTAACTCAAAAATAAACGAATAATTAAACTGCTATTTTATTTTAGATACTTGAAAGCAACTCGAGAACATTATGTTTTCGTCTTTTATGTTTTAGGTTAAAATTCTATGAATATCTGGAAATTTTACATAATGTTTAGGTTTTTTATAATAAAAATAATTCAACTGAGTTTGATCCTTTTCAGTATACCATAGATACTAAAAAAGGAAGTAATTTTGTATTTACAGAATCAATAATACAACCAAGTGTAGCATTCCATGTTCACAATGTCAAGGATTTGGTCCTTGATACCAAAAATGAAGTGCTAGTATTTGAAAGTATAATTACAAACGAGGGATCAGGATATGACAAGTCAACGGGTATATTCACAGCACCCGTAGAGGGAACTTACTTCTTTACTGTACATGTCTGTACTGCAAACAGTAAATATTCTCCTATTGGACTAGTCTTGGATAGCACATTTGTTGCAAGATCGATAAATTACGACACGGATTCTTATACTTGCAGTTCGGTATCGGCCATTGTAAGAATGAAGTCAGGAGGGCGTGTTTGGGTGGCAAGTACATCTGGTAGCACGGCTTACGTTTTATATACACATAACTTGCACATCATGAATACTTTCAGTGGAATGTTTATAAGTACATAGTCAACATTTTTATTAGTCCCCTACCGGTTCAACCGTTGGGAACTTAAAGTTGACCCTCCGCCCGTCTGTCCGTCAGTCAGTTCGGGCAAACATCCAATGGTCTATGATCTTCATTTCGTCCAAAATATTAGTTAAAAAAAGAAGGAAATCACAAACCGACTTGTTTATGTGGTAATTTTACTGGTTTATATTGAAAAGTGCCACATAAAGATCAAAGAAAAAGTACATAAACTCCAACTCCAATACCAATGTTGACACGTCCGCCTATCCGTCCGCAAAACTGAAAGTCCTGAAAACATTTTAATGAAACTTGATATATGGGGAGATTATGCACGTCTTTTTCTTGTCTTCCTATGTTGACAACTGTAGTTGCTATGGCAACAAATAGACTGAAATATGGCAAAATTAACAAAAAAAAAACTGGATCCCGTGACAAAGCAAAAAAGGACTAAAATATTTTTATGAAACTTTTATGAAACTTGAAATATAGGTAGATGGCAGTTTGGAGATTATGCACATCTTTTTCTTTTCTTTTCTTCCTTTGTTTAAAAATGTGGTGGCAACAAATAGGCTTAAAATATGGCAGATATAAAAATATTAATATTACTCAAATAGGACTGAAAATTTGACAGTATGGAGATTTTACACATCATTTTAATCCTGACAATAGGGAATATTATACTTACCAAGCGCCGGCAACCTCGTTTTTACGCTTTTTCACTATAAGTGGTATTTACTTCAAACTTCAAATAAATGTTTCTGATTAAATATACGACACCATATGTGACAAGGTATACAACTCAAAAAATATCAGAACTACCCCCTTGAACTTAGAATGATCATGTAAAATGTTGTTATTTTATAACATTATTTATATATACTTCAATTATCATATACGTGTATATGTTTCTTATAATCACTCAAATCATGTGTAAAAAATCAATATTCTAGCTTTACTATTTTTTTTCTGGAAATTATTATTTTCACTCAAACACCTCCATTTCTGATAAGTTTTACTTCCAACTCCCACCTCATAATAATATGACAAGGTTTATCAATCTAGCATCCATATTTCCAGAAATACGTCCTTAAACTTTGAGTTTTTCTAATTCATTCTTACTTCTCTTATTTCTCCATGGTTTTACTTCAAATGTAAATTAAATATACATTCATTATCAACATCTACATCATATGTGATTAGAGTTATAAGTCTAGCGCCTGGGGTTCCATAAGTATTTTCATTTTGAACTTGAAAATTTGAAATTTGTTAGTGTTTTTTTTAATTTTCTTTTTTTGTGAAATTGTATATTTGTAACTTGTTTTTCTTCCACTTTTCTTCTTTGTGACTATAAATGGTATATTATTTAAACTTTACATAATTGTTTATTGTAACACACTCATCATGTATGACAATGTTCACAAGTCTGGCATCATTTTTCAAGAGACATCTCCTCTTTAAAATGTTATATTCTGGTAACAGCCAGGGATGTTAAAAGATACACCCTAACTCTTCAGAGCACTGCAAGTTTGCAAGTAAATTTACAAACATATTTTTTGGGCTTAAATCTGTACAAACGTTAACCTGTCAAACATATTTAAAATAAAAGTTTTATTAGTATTTTGTAGAGCTTTGAATATTTTTTTTAAAATCATGGACTTTTATTGAAAAGGATCAGAAACTATCGTTAAGCTTAAAACGTCAAAACGTTAATATTAATAGTCAATTCAAGTCCATTTTAAAATAAACAGTTGCTTTAGATTAATATAATTTTTAGCTCGACTATTCGATAAGAATAACTAGAGCTATTGTAGTCACCCGAGCGTCGGCGTCTGCGTCGGCGTCGGCGTAACCATTTATGTTAAAGTTTTTGTAATAGTTCAAATATTTTCAAAGTCCATTGACATATGGCTTTGAAACTTTGCACACTTGTTCACTATCATGACCCCAACCTGTAGACAGGAGGAGGTAACTTTATCAAGCATTTTGACAGAATTATGCCCCTTTTTCGACTTAGAATTTACGTTAAAGTTTTTGTAATAGTTCAAATATTTTCAAAGTCCATTGACATATGGCTTTGAAACTTTGCACACTTATTCACCATCATGACCCCAACCTGTAGACAGGAGGAGGTAACTGTATCAAGCATTTTGACAGAATTATGCCTCTTTTTATATGCCCGAAAGGGCATATTATGTTATACCCCCTGGCGTCCGTCTGTCTGTCTGTCTGTCTGTCTGTCCGTCCGTCCGTACGTCCGTCCGTCTGTTAGCAATTTGGTTTCCGGAGCATAAGTTAAGTTCCATTTGGCCAACAATGTTCAAACTTCATAGGATGATTGTCCATATTGGGTAGAAGACCCTATTGATTTTGGGGTCAAAAGGTCAAAGGTCAAGGTCACTATTACCTTGATACTGAAACAGTTTCCGGAGCATAACTTAAATTCCATTTGGCCCACACTGTTCAAAATCGTAGGATGATTGTCCATATTGGGTAGAAGACCCTATTGATTTTGGGGTCACAAGGTCAAAGGTCAAGGTCACTATTACTTTGATACTGAAAACAGTTTCCGGAGCATAACTTAAGTTCCATTTGGCCAACAATGTTCAAACTTCATAGGATGATTGTCCATATTGGGTAGAAGACCCCTATTGATTTTGGGGTCAAAAGGTTAAGGGTCAAGGTCACTATATCCTGAAAACTGAAAACAGTTTCCGGAGCATAACTTAAGTTCCATTTGGCCCACAATATTCAAACTTCATAGGATGATTGTTGATATTGGGCAAAATACCCCTATTGATTTTGGGGTCACTAGGTCAAAGGTCAAGGTCACAATTACCTTAAAACCAAAAACAGTTTCCGGAGCATAACGTAAGTTCCATTTGGCCCACTTTATTCAATCTTCATAGGATGATTGTCCATATTGGGTAGAAGACCCCTATTGATTTTGGGGTCACAAGGTCAAAGGTCAAAGTCACTTTTACCTTAATACTGAAAACAGTTTCTAGAGTACAATTAAAGTTCCATTTGGCCCACAATATTCAAACTTCTTAGGATGATTGTCCATATAATGTAGAAGACCCCTATTGATTTTGGGGTCACAAGGTCAAAGGTTAAGGTCATTATTAATAACTTAAGTATTAATCAACCTACAGCTGTAAAATTTTATAGGATGAACAGCTAATTCCCATATCTTACAAATGCTTCATCCTTACTAAAAAAAAAAAACACTTTCGGGCATATAATGCTCCGCCTAGCGGTGCTCTTGTTCGACTTAGCATTTACGTTAAAGTTTTTGTAATACCTTGAATATTTTCAAAGTCCATTGAAACTTTGCACACTTGTTCACCATCATGACCCCAACCTGTAGACAGGAGAAGGTAACTCTATCAAGCATTTTGACAGAATTATGCCCCTTTTTTGACTAAGAATTTACGTTACAGTTTTTGTAATATCTCAGATATTTTCATAGTCCATTGACATATGGCCTTAAAACCTTGCATGTACTTGTTGACCATCATAACCCCAACCTGTAAACAGGAGGAGGTAACTCTATCAAGCATTTTGACAGAATTATGCCCCTTTTTCGACTTAGAATTTACGTTAAACTTTTTGTAACACCTCAAATATTTTCAAAGTTCATTGACATAAGGCTTTGAAACATGTTGAACTTTTATGCTCTTCTTTGAGAGCATAATAGGACTCTCTCCAAGGCCTATAACTGTAATATGGATATAAATAAAAAAAATGCCCTTTTCTCTACTGAGAAAATTTTACCTTTTAATCAAGTTTTTTTTACTATCAAGCACTAAGAATAGTCGAGCGTTGCTGTCCTACCGACAGCTCTTGTTCTAATTGCAATATGGGTTAATTGACTATATTGCATTATATTACAATACAGGCTTGTTAATATTTTTGCACTCGTAATGAAAATACTAAGATTGCTTCTGTCAGTAAAGTCTATGCAGTAAGTTATGTCTACTGAATTAATTTCTCTTCGGATAATGCATTTATTTCCTAAACAAGTTCAATTAATGCAACAAAACATTTAATGTAATTTTTTTGAATTGGACTTTCTTTTGTTTAAGCAGCATTTAGAAAATATGTTTATGTTGAGATATTCTGCTTTAATTTTGATATACATTGTTTTAATATAAAGATGGACTGAGGAATTCTGACTTAAAGATGGACTGAGGAATTCTGACTTTTTAAGAATTTGAAAATTAACAAATATACAATAAAAAAGATCACAATGCAACACCTGGTTCACTCATACTATGTTTATTTTGAAGGTTTCTTTTCTGTATTATTGTTTCTTGGTACTGAATTGAACTATGTACCGCTCATGCTTAAATCTCATGTATTTGATTTGTTCAAAGTTTGCAAATAGTATACACTAACCAATGAAAATCCTGAGATTTATGATATAGCTCAGAAAAATGTTTTATAACATCCAGTGCAGATATTGCAATGGAGGCTGAGAAGCTAGTGAAGCTAAAAATAGTAGTCATGTGACCTTGACAGTGCTTGAGTGGCAATTAACAATGAGACATGCACCTTGGTATTAATTACAGCTGTCATCACTGGATTAAAAGAATTAAAAAAGTTGATGCAAGTTAGTTGTTTTATGAAACAACGACAATTTCAGTTCTTATTTAAAGGTGTTTTATGAAATTTTTATGAAACAAGGACAATTTTAGTTCTTATTTTAATTTATATTTATTCAGAAGTGTCAGTTTGTATTTTATGATTAAATAACATCATTTACAAAAAATATTATTTGTGTGACTGAAATTGAAAATTTATGAATTGGACTATTACAGCATGCGGAGAAAGAAATTCATTATCTTACAATTATCTCAAAATTAAAAAAAAATACTTAGTGCACCAGTCCATTATGCAATCATTTGATTGGTTAATTTGGGATATATGCTATTCGAAATTGACCAATGATAGTAGTGTATTAGCAGACTTGTGTTAAAAATTAAATTTATTCTACAAAAACTTGAAGATTGAAGACCAATCTGAGTATAGTTTAAATTTTCAAGCTTCTTATACAAAAGGCCTCTCTTGGCCTTTATGCTATGGACAAAAAATATTTCCTTCATTAAGGTTTATTGTTTTACTTTCCCTTTGTTACATGATAATTAGATTCATATATTTGCTTTGTTTTCTACTGTTTTTGCATACATGATAGAAAGTTTATATGTTGTATTCCCCTACAAATGAGCTTTGATATAAAGATTAAAACAATTTGATTGTCTTTGTTTTGTTTTGATCATCATTTAGTACGTAATATCATCAATTTTAAGAGAGACATTTTGTATTCCCGTTTCCTCTGGTTATTAGTCCGCACGCAGATAAGTAATCCAGGGGTTCGTGGTTCGATCCTTGTTAATTGAACTCGAAAAGTGAATCAAATGGTCATTTGACATAATGTTGTATCCAAACACAAGAGGTTTGGTCACACCAAGACGTATGCGTAGAAAAGGTCGACCTTTAACAAAATCCCAGGCAGAAACATATAAACAGACAGAATATTAAAGTCCATCCATGCAGGTATAGCATAATGTAATCATAGTCGACATTTAATGTATTGTATGTGTCTGACAAGATTTGATGGTCATCTAAACATACATATTTTGAGATACCCACCCAAAGTAACAATGTTTTTTCTTGATTGATCTAGGCATGTGTTGCACTACAATTACTACTCACAACACATGTTCAATACATCAATGAGCAGCGCCATGACAAAACCAACATATTGCGTTTGCGACCAGTATGTGTTCCAGACCAGCCTGTCCATCCGCGCAGTCTGATCAGGATTCATGCTGTTCACTTACAAAACCCTTTAACAAGTAGAAAAACTTATACCGAACAGCATAGATCCTGATCAGACTGGTGGATGCGCAGGCTGGTATGGATCCATGTTGGTCGCAAACCCATTATGTTGAATTTGTCATGGTACTTTTGTGGGTAGTAAATTTTAATCCATTCTGGAATGACAACAAGTTTGACAGTGCACTTTTATAAAAATTCATATCATGACTGTGACTTTGACTTTTGAGCCAGGGACCAGATTCTTGCACGTGACACATTATTATTATGTTGAACACATAAATGCATAGATTTTTTTTAATCCATCTAGGAACTATTGATTGAACACGAACATCAGGGTATTTTAAGAAAAAAATCCTTTGAGTGTGATGTGGACCTTAAAAGTATGAACCTTGATTTAGGTCACAACACATCATGCCAATGTGATTCATATTTATACACAATTGTTTTAAAATCTATCCAAAATTGACAAAATATGGACAGGACACAAAGTTGAAATGGATGCTGCAAAACAATTGTGCCTCCCAATACTGGTGGACATTTAAATAAAATAAGGTAAATAAGATCTCTATTAAATATTTTAAAAGATGGAAATGCAGTCAAATTGGCAAGTTTATGCTGGTAAAATGTGTGACATGCCCCCATATAGTCTTTGTTTTGAAAGTTGAGTGCAGCAAATGGTCACACATTTCACCTGCAGAAACTTTACAAGTAACAGAACTTTCTTTAATTGTGAGAATAGCCACCAATCAAGGTAGCAGTTAAATTATTTTGAACATAAAAAGAACATTAGTTTTAATGGTGCATTCATGTAAAATAGTACCTATTATTCCTACTTTTTGGCCGGGTTGCACTGGTGCAAACCCGGGTTATAGTATGTTGGGCGGCGGGAGGGCGGGGAAAACTTTCGTAACAGTTTTCTCAGCAACTACTTATCACAGCCCATTTATATTTGGCATACAGCATTGACACGTGGTCCTATACCGTTGGATTCGATTTTAGGTCTGTCGCTCATCCACTTCCTGTTTATCGACTTGGTTAAATTTTCAACATTAATGGTCAATGGTAAGAAATTTTCGTAACAGTTTTCTCAGCAAGTACTTATCACAGCCTCTTGATATTTGGAATACAGCATTGACACATGGTCCCATACCGTGGGATTAGATTTCAGGTCTGTTGCTCATCTACTTCTTGTTTATCGACTTAGTTAAATTTCCGACATTAATGGTCAATGGTAGGAAATTTTCTTAACAGTTTTCTCAGCAACTGCTCATCACAGCTTCATGATTTTTGGCATACAGCATTGACACAGGGTTTCATACGGTGGGATTAGATTTCAGGTCTGTCGGTCATCCACTTCCTGTTTACCGACTTAGTTAAATTTGTGACATTAATGGTAAATGATAGGAAATTTTCGTAACTATTTTCACAGCAACTACTTATCACAGCCTTTTGATATTTTGCATACACCATTAACTAGTGGTCACATACTGTGGGATCCATTTTCAGATCTGTCGATCATTAATTTCCTATTTACCGACATAGTTAAATTTTCGACATTAATGGCCAATGGTAGGAAATTATAATATTTAGCATATAGCATTGCCTCATGGTCCCATACTGTGGGATTCGATTTCAGGTCTGTCGCTCATCCACTTCCTGTTTACCAACTTAGTTAAATTTTTGACATTAATGGTCAATGGTAAACATTTTTTGTAACATCACAGCCTCATGATATTTGGTATACAAATGCAACCCGGCCTTTTCTGTCTTTGACCCATTTTTTACTGAAAATGTTCCTACTTTTTTTTACTTTTTGCTTCGAAACTTTCCTTTTTTTTTACCGACTTTTTTATTTAGGCCAGTTGAAGGCCTGCAGAGGCAGATTCAAACGTCTGCATGATACTAAGTAAATTCGTCTAAGAGCTTGGTCAATAAGAAATAGCCCACTTGAATGTGATGATTTTTTAGCCGCAAACATATTCAGCTAGTGAGTATATAACTTTTAAACTATTTTGATATATATAAACACTTTTGATAGTATATATATAAAATATGGAAGCGTAAATTATGTAATATTTTAACTCATTAAATTTTCTAAATCATCTTTCTTTAGGGTTTATGTTATACATTATCAGGTTTATTCTCTTCTACAGGCCTCTTCCACTTGGGATAATTCTTTTAAAATAATAGTTTTCAGCTAGAAATCAATTAACATTAGGTTACACACTATAGGGTTGGACCCCAAAGTACATAACGCACTTTGAAGTGCGGTGTTACATGTTTAATCTTTACGCCGACTGGGGATATGGAGATAAAACATTGAATTTTTATGTATTGTCTCTCGATGATAGGAGTAATTTGTCACGGTGTACAAAATATTAACATATCATTTCGTGCGACGTGACTACACTATTTTTGGCGAGCACTTGTATAACATGTCAGCAACTTATCGCTATACTAGATAACATTGCCATGTCAAGAAGATCATCATAATTTTCCGGTTTCATCTTGAGTTCAACCCTGCAAAATGTGATAAGATCGCCTAAATAGAATAAAGACATTCATCCATTATGACTGTAAAGTCATTGTATGTTTGCAATGTTAAGTGTTTTCATTGAAACCCTTAGTAGTAAATAAAGCACCATCATTCTTGTCATTTCACGGCAATAACATATTTGCAAAGGGAAAGTTGAAAAAGCATCATTAATACAAACCGATTCTTGTTATGAATGTAGACATAAAAGAAATCTGATTAACCCGTACAATATAATTGAATGATAATTATTTATCAAAATAATATCTTTAACATTTTCATTTACAATGTAAGAAAACACAATTACTTACGCTTGAAATTCATTTTACTTCTAATTTTGTGATTTTCAGTTCGCAAATGCCGGTTGGTTAACGCACATTGGATATTTAATACTGTATTGAAATAAAAAAATAATACTTATTTAATATAGCTAATCGGAATGTTTATTCAATTACATTTTATCTATACAAAAAATGCATTCAAATAACATATATTCCCATGTTCGAAAGACCTTTCCTTTTCGTTACATGTTATATTTAAGGATGCAACTACTAACTACTACTGTTTTTGTTATTCCTGGATTTATTGTTTTGTTTCATATTTTACTTTTTACATGATATAGCTTCATATATTGTTTCGTTTTTGCATACATAATAGAACATTTATCTGTTGTAATAATTTACAAAAATTAATGATGTTTAATAATATTATAGAGATTGATTTTTTGTGATCATGCTCATAAGGGATTTAAGGCAATGATACATTTGGGTATTGTGTTAAAATACAAATACTTATTAAGAATAAGAATTTAAAAACAAGTTTTCAAAGTCATTAATTCTTGAATGAAACATAACAAAACCAATTTGAAAACTTATCTGCTGTTCAAAATTGTGAAAATTCTGTTATAGCTCACGTTTCGCTCAGTGGTGAACACTAAAGGTTGTTAACACTAATGAAGTCATGAATATTCGTCAGAAAGTTTGATGTTATTTTAACAAATCCGAAAATGTTTAATATAATCCTAGAAAGAAAAGAGCTCACCAGATCCAGTCAAATTAAAACATCGTTTGCATTTAAAAAGAGAAATCCTGTCAGTTTTTGTTCGTTTGTGATAATGTTTGTACGTAAAGCCACGTTGAGCAAAAAAAATCTAGTTCATCCGTACAAACATTAGGAACCTTTGAGTTTTAACACTTGGAGGTCAAAGACGCGAATGGATCTGAATCAAACTTTGCCAAAATATTTCTTTTTATAACATCTTATTGGAGTTTAAATACG